CGTCAAAGCCGTCGCCCTCTGTGTCGTAGAACTTGAGGTTGTAGTGGAAGATGAGCGAGCTCTGCATGTGTGCCGGCATGGCTATGCGCATAGTCGCCGCACCTGGAACGGAAATGGACAAGGTTTTTGTTATTGCTTGACAGTGGACACTATGGTTGCATTGCAGTCCCAGGACCTTTATATATAGGGTGAAATTTTTCTAGTGACCGATAGCGAAATCTCGGAATCGGCTGGTAATAAGAAACAACTTTCCTCAAGAAACATAGTCGATTTATGATAGATAATGTGTTGGACTTCTCATAGTAACTCAAATCAGCTGATCGGCAATTTTGTATGGGAGTTCCAATTTATTTTTTCATTTTTAGGAAAAGTAGTTTCTTATCACCAGCCGATTCTGTGTTTTCGCTATCGGTAACTAGAAAAATATCACCCTACATTTGTAACGCCTTTAAGAACTGTATAGTGGGGAGCTAGAGCTCACTGGGAAAAACTAGATTTTTAAAGATCGAGGAATTTCTGAAGAAAAAAATATAATTTCCGGCGGAGAATTGATGCGTGATTAGATAGTTGGAAACTCAAGTTGTTGAACAATTCGTACCTAACGATTTTCCATCGAGACTGGTAACGCGACAGGATGATGAAAAATATCAGGAGATGGTTTTTGATTAAGAGATGTGGCACTGACCTGTGGAGTCAGTATACATGACTGCCTTAGTGTTGGGATCGCTAAAGTATAGTCCATATCTGAAGAACAGCGACCTCACAAAAGGCAGCTCTTCGAAATCGTGTAGTGTGATCGGTGTCTTGAGCAGTTGCCAGTCGGGCTGCAGCGGGAAGAACTCGTAGATGAACTCCCGAGGGTCCGTCAGGAAGTAGTGGTCGTCGTATTCGTATCTGGAATCAGAAGATTGGTAATAAGTCCAGAGATTTGCACCACACAATGCTTTCAAGGATATTTTATTCGATTTTGGTACCTGCAGCCAGAGCCAGCAGTCGTCTTTCGAAATTCTGGGTTGTGTTTGCCGAAAAAAACCTTCCAGGATCCTGATCTTCTAAAACCTTTAATACTGAGTCGTACCGCATTCTCTAATAACTAATAAGTAGGTAGGTAATAGTGAAGAAACCCACCTCAAACTATCACTCTTCCCTCTGTTGCCCGGTTTCGGCGCATCCTTAGCGTTGACGAGATGCCTCGCACCCCAGTTGCACTGGACAAATCTCCAAGCTCCCGCCACGTAGACTGCGTTCCACGAGTTCCTGAACCGGTTGTCTTCGAACCTGACGCCAGGCTGGTAGCCTGCCGACTTGCTGTAGCCCTTGATCACGACGCAGTGCAGACCTGCGTAGCTGGAAGTGGAAATGAGGTAAGGATTAACTTGTTTGTAATTTCAATTTCAGCGGATTAAATTGTGAAGGAATTCAAAAGATTTGACTGTAAGACATCGTATACCAACTTTTACGATCAAAGTAAAGATCAAGGGTATAATTTATATTCTGACTTTTTCGCTAGATGATTTTGATGCGGAAGAACTAGTTTCAAAATTTAATTATAGAATACAAAAATGCGGCATTCTGATACACAAAGTTAAAGGCCAATTCTATATAAAGGCCGCTAAACCCACAAATCCGTTATTCAATTATAGATTCTATATTTCATCACCCATTTATTTTATACCTTCGCAAATGTCCCTGTCTAGTAGCAAACAAGTTCTTGCTGTATCAGGTGGCGATATCATAATTTCAAGACTGATTTAACACTCCCTACGTCCCCAGTGGGGGTCCTAAGTTTATGTTCTGGTCCACTCACTTCTCCGCTTAGCATTTATGATAAAGTGTGACTATCCGGTTCTCAACCAGCCGTGTAGCTTGATGGCGGTTTATGAATAATAAGATGTTGATGACCACAACTTGGCGGTGTCTTTGCAGATTTATGTATAACTGTTACACAGCGCAATAAAAATAAATTGATAGTTAATAGGCGTTGGCCTTAACTGAGCCTTTGTGACCTTTTTCTTGACTTTTTAGATCGTAGTAATACTATCGTAGCAATGCGTTATTGTCAGCATCCTGTTGCGTAACCTTATCCATTACAACTTTGTAAAAGTCTCAACCAACCTGCACAATCTCTTAAACAGTACGTGGTAACTTTCAGTCCCGTGTTTGATGCCTCTGAGCAGGCCTAGCGGCGAGTCTCCTCTCAGGTTGTCGTCGAACTGAATGTTGTTCAGGTTCTTGACTGTGATCCAGCGGAAGATTGTCCGCGCCTTCTCCACGTCTGTCGCGCATCGGCCCACTAGTTGCCGGACTAGGTCTGTGAACGTCTTTTGGTCTTCTTGTGCCACCTGGAAGAAAGAAGAAACGTATAAACAACTTGAAAAAAAAGCGGTACTTTTTCGAGAAAAGATCTCGAGTTCAGTTCTTCATGGGATATAATAAATAGTTTAATTAGAATAACAATTTTCGATGTTTTCTTTGCATCAGCGTCGTAGCTGAATTTATCTATATTTATAGAACCTCCACCGTTCAAACTCTTTTATTTAATAAATCATATTCTGGTGATATGTCAAACTTACTGAAATAGCGATTTTGTCCACTTCAGCGAACTCCATAGGGTCCGTATAGATGTGGAACTTGGAGACCAGAGGGGGCTGAGGCGCAGGGGCTCTGGCGGGGTACGGAGGAGCTTCTTCCCCTCCGTCGACGTACAACGACGAGGCAGCCATGTACTCCGACCTTCGCTCCTGAATCAGCTCCATCATCTCGTGGCTCTGTTTTTCGACTAGTGCTGCTGTTGCCGCCCTGAGGAGTCGAAGAGAAGCATTGTTATCAAATCTTCAAGATTAGCATTGGCTTATTGGCCAAAAGTGGCTTCTATATACTCCTCCTGTATTTTAACCATGTGAAAAGGATCTGTTATTCGGTTATCATATGATTAAGAATTCTTATTCAAAGTATAGGTACCTACATACTACCTACTATACTAAAGAGTCAAATTTTATGGCATGGGAAAACCCATCAAGTCCATTGGGAGATATTTAAAAGACATTAATTATCACAACATTATAGCCTACACAGGTGACTTCGATTCCAAACCAGTTCGCTTGTTAAAGCCTGTAATTGATGTAACCTGTAAAAGTTGCTGGTTACATAATGTTCTCGAGCGACAAGTTTGTATTGTCTAGCTAGATTTTATATTTAGTATTCTTAATTGGTCACGCCTTCACTTTTCAAAACTGCAATAGTTAGATTGCCCCTGTTTTATTGATGTTATGTTATACTGTTTTCGGAAATTGGGAAGCCCTGGTACTTAGTTTTTAGACGTGATCAGAGGCGACCTTTAGCTTACTTTTGCTATTTTTGCCCTTCTTATTTCTTTCTTCTCTGTACTTGGGGCTGGCTCTTGCTTGTGTATTAGGCTGGGACAACATCCTTCTTCTTTACTTACACATTTGCCATTAGGTGTCTATAGCCTCTTTTCAAATTCATATTTAATGTTTTTCTAACCTCTCATGCTCCAACATTTTCCTCGTCAAGCTCTCCTTCTTCTTATCCCTCCTTAAAATCATGTTCTTCTCCAGTTCTGTTCATTCTTTTTGGTGTCTCAACGTCAACGTCCCAATCTCTGAGTCTAGGAATGTTCTTTTCTATCTATAATTACTTCATTATCTTGATATTTTTTTCTTTAGCTTATTTCCTTGTTGAGCACTCCTTCTTAACCCTTCTCAAGATCATATGATTCTTCAGATCAGCTCTTCCTTGTTAATTCCAGCGTCAACGTCCAGATCTCTGAGTCTAGGAACCTTTTTTATCTAAGTGCTTTAGCTTACCTCTCATGCTCCAACATTTTCCTCGTTAGGCTCTCTTTCTTCTTATCCCTCCTCAAGGTCATGTTCTTCTCCAGGTCAGCTCTTTCTTGTTGGTGTCTCAGCGTCAACGCCCCGATTTCTGAGTCTGGTAATCTTCTCTTTTTCACCTGCATCTCTTGTTGGAATCTGTTTGTTAGCCTTTCTAGTTCGCGTTCCCATTCGTCCTAGAGAAAAGAAAAATAATTTATAAGTATTCGGTATTTGTAATTATCGTTATTAAAGACTTTAGTTTTATTAAATGTGGTTTTTATGGAAGGCGGAATCGTCCCTTAGATTTTCTTAGAATTTGACCGTTTATTCTATTGTAACTATTTGTAACATATTACTTGCCTGTATTTCTTCTCGTATTCTTCTGTTTTCTTCTTCTCTGTGTTTTGAGAACTTTCTGTACAAATCGTCTTCTTCCTGTCGGTGTTTCATTTCAAGTTTCGTCTGTTCATCTCGATCCTGCAGACAAAGAAAAACATTTGTAATTAGTTGTCTAGTTTTTTAACGTTGTCATTTTGTTATTGTTTTCTTGTGGACGTTTTTATTTACTTCGGTAATGGTTCTCAAATTCTAAATCAAAACTGCGTAGGTATAACTTAGGTTTCATAATAATTATTGCATTGAAAGTGGCTAAGGCACATTGAAGTGTAAAGATTAATATCAGTTCATTACGAACTACTTAGTACAACGATTATCTGTTTTACTAGCACACCTACTGTGTTGAGAATGAAAATTGACCAAAAGCAATAGCTGTAGAATTAGTATGCAAATATTTGCTGAGCCATATTGTATAGTGTTTTAATGATGTATTTAATTTAATGGTTTATTTAATTTCAGTTGTAATGACTAAAATGACATAACTTTAATTAGTCACCTAGCTTAACTCATTAGCTTAACTAAGTATATTAATTTCATTTGTGTAGTTGTATGATGTTTTACACAACTGAATGAAATGTCCGCATTCTTTAGGCGTCATTCATGTTTTATGGCACTTGTATTTGTGCTACTGGGTTATTTATTATACAGTTTTGACAGTCTGTTGCTCCTTTTGTTTTATAACTGTTCAAACTGATTCTGTGAAATGGAGAACAGTTCTACATAATTGTTGACTTATTAATGTAGGTACCTACGATAGTAACGACAGCCGATGTGGCACAGTGGTAGTGCGACTGCTTGCGATGCAGAAAGTTCCGGATTCGAATACCGGTGGATCACTTCACAAAGTTGAAATATGTCACTTTGTGAATTTGTTTTCAGTCTGGTTAGGATATTGCAGGCTGAACCATCGATTGTTCGAAATCAAGATGGTTCCGTGCTTCTAAGGGGACGTAAAGCCGTCGGTCCCGGTTACTGTTTATGATTACGCATGTTAGAGGCCTGCAATTGTAGTCCATGGGTTCGTTGGACGACTCAGTGTCCCACTCGGAAAAACTAGAAGTGACCTATTTACCTACGCTATGAAATAGAGAGAGTTATTATAATTTCTTGTACTAGTTCTGGTTCTGATCGATTAGCCTAGCTAGATGATTAGCCATGCAACTATGTAGGTAGGTAGTTCGGTTATAGGTAGTAGTAATCTAGTTTCTAAGATAATTTATTAAAAAACTAGGTTGAACCTAAGCAGACCTTATTCATTCATAGGTAGAGTTTAAGCTGATCATAAGTAAGTATACTGACTTATAATCTCCTAATATATTCCTACTTAACCGATGGATACCCAGTCAAATTGCAATTCCCATTAAGAGGGCCTGTCATATCGTCTCAACTAACGTTACGTGCGACTTTCGTCGTTTATTTATATCAATAACCATCCATTGATTATTATTGAGGAAGCCGTCAGTTTAACGGCGCAATAAAAGTGACGATAGATTGACACCTGTCATAGGAAGAGAGTGTCGCCCCCTCGCGCCGGGTCGACGGAAAGTGAAACGGGTGTCATTCACCTGCGCGCGCGGCGGCCCCGCAGCGAATTACGATTAGACAGTGTTGCCATGTCTAATAGATTACCGGCACGTAGGATTGGCCTAAATGTTTCATTCAACAGCCTGAAGGTGCCTTTGCAAGGTGCGAAATTGACTGCATAACAAAATAGGCACAGAATCGCCACAAAAGACGCGTTGTCGTTGCGTGCTAGATAACGTGTAGAATTTAATATTCTTTTTATCTGGCAACACTTTCTCGGCCTCTCACCGGCGAATTGCGATTAGACCGCTTGCGGCGATTGCCAACTAAGATGATAGCGAGAGCCGCAAAAAGCAACAAATTAAAATTAAGTAGGCACATAGGCAACTACTTGTGCCTGCCTGGTAATGCATGTCTCGATACATTAGGAGATATCACCGAGACATCGTTTTCTCACAAAAAGTCAATCAAATAAGAAAGTATTCATAAATTATCGACATATTCGTCATTATAATAGCACACGCATTCAAATCAAACAAACTGTAAATACCTATTCAAGGTTTATCATTAAAAAAAGATTCACGTATTGATACAAACATGACTATTGGAGACTTAAATAGGACAAGTCACGTCACACAATGATTGAATGTCTGTTCGAGACAAGTATTAAGTTAAAAATTGTGTATGTATAGGTAGGTATAGCATAGTAATAAAGCATTCACTGATATTTCGTGTTGTTATGCAAAGCAGCGCGGTGTGTGCTCTGAATGTGTCCGCTGTTACGATGAATGTTAATATGACATTAATAGTGCGCAGCAAACGCGACAATGGCACAGCATTATTATTTCATTACATTAAACGTGTTTTTATCAAGTTAAAGTTTAAAGAATTTGTTTTGTGCCTCGATTCGTACAGATAACGGGACTCGCTATCGTCAGTATCGCGCAAACGGCTCGCGGACCGGTCGTGTGTTCAACTGTTATTTACACACGGGCATCAAAATGCTCAAAATTGTGAGAGGAATGCGCCGGCTTACCGCCCAGAGCCGGCACCTCAATACGGCAACCGTCATAGGCACCGAACCGATCCGCAGTGACCCGTATTATCAAGAGAATAAAGCGAAAATGGACGAAATCGTCGAAGAACTTCGACAGAAAACAAGTGACGCGATCATAGGAGGTCCACAAGAGGCGGTAAAGAGGCACATAGCGAGAGGAAAACTGCTGGTGCGAGACAGGATTAACCGGTTGGTGGACGAGGGAAGCGACATTTTAGAACTGAGCACTCTCGCCGCTACCGACATGTACAAGGGGCAGGTCCCGGGCGCCGGCATCGTCACCGCAATCGGCAAAGTTCAGGGTCGCGATTGCATGATAATGGCCAACGACTCGACAATCAAGGGCGGCACTTACTTTCCGATGACCGTCAAAAAACATCTAAGAGCGCAAGAAATTGCTCAAAAGTGCAGACTACCATGCATTTATTTGGTGGATTCCGGTGGTGCTTACTTACCAGACCAAGCAGATGTTTTCCCCGACAAAGAACATTTTGGAAGGATATTTTACAACATGGCTAACATGTCTGCAGAAGGCATTCCACAAGTATCAGTTGTCATGGGCTCATGTACGGCTGGTGGCGCTTATATCCCTAGCATGGCAGATGAGAGTATTATAATTAAAAACCAAGGTACCATTTTCCTTGCCGGACCACCTCTTGTAAAAGCGGCTACAGGAGAATCTGTCTCTGCTGAAGACTTGGGAGGAGCAGATTTGCATTGCAGGCAGTCTGGTGTGACAGATCACTACGCTCAAGATGACGAACATGCTCTACATTTAGCAAGGAATGTTGTGGAGAATCTAAATTGGAACAATGATCAAAGAACTAGAATCTATGCCCCTAAAGTCGATGAACCTTTATATGATGCCGAAGATCTTCACGGCATCGTAGGTGACAATCTTCAAAGGCCTTTTGATATTAGGGAAGTTATTGCTAGGATCGTTGATGGTAGCAGGTTCCATGAATTCAAGAAACTATTTGGTGACACTCTAGTTTGTGGATTTGCTTCAATTTATGGACAACCTGTAGGAGTGATTGGAAACAATGGCGTATTGTTTTCGGAGGCTGCACTAAAAGGAGCTCACTTCATTCAACTTTGTGCAGCAAGAAAAATTCCCTTACTGTTTCTTCAGAACGTCACCGGTTTCATGGTTGGAAAAGATGCTGAGGCCGGTGGTATTGCCAAGAATGGAGCAAAAATGGTCACAGCCGTCAGCTGCTTCAACGGTCCAAAGATCACTGTTTTAGTTGGAGGGAGTTTCGGTGCTGGAAATTATGGAATGTGCGGTCGTGCTTACTCTCCTACTTTCCTGTATATGTGGCCAAACTCTAGAATCTCAGTCATGGGCGGTCCGCAGGCTGCCACCGTGCTATCCATAGTAGCTAGAGAAAAAGCTGAAAGGGAAGGAAAGAAATGGACTGATGAAGATGAGAGGAAAATCAGAGCGCCTCTTGAAGCCCAGTTTGAGAAAGAAGGTTCTCCTTACTACAGTACAGCAAGATTGTGGGACGATGGAGTTATTGCTCCAAAAGACACTAGAAGAGTTGTAGGACTTAGTTTGTCAGCTGCATTGAATGCTCCGTTTAGGGATACTAAATTCGGTGTGTTCAGAATGTAGAAATAAAAATTAAAAGACTATATAAACTAATGATAAAATACGCAATCAGGGTAACGAAGTAAACAGCAGTGAGATAATATGAAATAACGTTATCAATTCGTCATTTGTTTGGTTATATTTCGTAATCTTATCGCGTACCTAACTAAATTAATATTATTCTTGTTGCCATGTTTATGTTCTTTCTGATTGGTTGTAATTGTGCTGTATCCATAGATTCATTTCATTCTATTTTCGTAAAATTTGTACGTCTGAACACTCTACAAGTATGAAGATTCAAAACACTTATTCAAAGAATACAATAAGTATATGAAAATTCCGAACATGATAAAACCAAACTAAAAGAAAACTATTCGTAAAGTTGTTATTTAGTGTTGTACATTTTAAAAATTTTGCATTTACTTTTATAAAGGTTTATAAGATACCTACTTTGTTTTATTTGGTATCTATCAAGAGTACCTACCTACTGTTTTCTTATTAAAATTATTTTTTATGAAACAATCTCATAAAATTTTATGCATACGTAATTTTTGCGTCATGTAGCTACATATTACAAGTTAGTTAATGATTTATGCTGCATCTACGTATTGTTCTGCTAGTGTACCTAATAGTCGAATTGGGATTGGTCAGATTTTCTGTGAATCAATTTCGGCACAGCAAAATAATCCGTGTCATTTTTAGTAACTTTATTTAGGTGAATCTATATTCTTCATCTACGTACGTTTACTGAAAATCTCAAAAGAGCAAAATATGCTGGTTTTAGTACAGCAACTTAAGAACAACCAGCACATATTGGTCTCTTGAATGGGTAGCTCGCGAGCTGCTGCGGTACACATCTCCAAAAGCAGGCCAAGTCGCATCGGCATATAGATCGGCAATTACCTCGACTAATAGCTACCAGCGGGTTTCTTGCGAGGAATTCTAGTAGGAAAAAACCTCAGCCGTCCGCGTTCGCGCAGCGTTGCGGGCCGAAAGCGTAAAATGTGCGCGTCTGCGCATCTCTGCGCTGTGGTTAGCTATAGTTAGTATTCTTTGGCGCTGTCGATGATGGCAGCAGCTTTGTTGATGCTGGTTAGTATTGGATTCGTCGCCTGATTAGAATAGGTATTGTAGTGTGGCATAACTAAATTAAATACATGGCAAAAGACGACAACATCAGGACACCGGTTAGATAGACCGATACTTCAACATAGGTATTGTCGTGCGGCATAACTGATATTAAATTATTAGCACCAGGAAACAACATCAGGGCACCAGTCAGATGGACCGATACAGTACAGCAGGCACTCAAGGCCACAATGCAGGCGTCAGTGCACATGGCACAGGACGTCAGAGCCTGGAGGAGTTTAGCGGAGCAGTAGCTCCCCATGGTCAGAACCTTCAAGAATTAAACATCTACTTAAAGAACGATTTTATAACAAAACAGCGCACAGATCTAGGTACGCAGTACGCACATGCATAAGATAGAAAATTCATAGCGAGGAAGGTTTTTAAACCAAAAACTTCCTTTTCTATTGGTTTTAGTCAATCTTATAGCAGAATGTATTAAATTACACAATAGTGTTGCGTGTTTGTGTGTGATGTTTTTTTAATTTTTTTAGACATTGTCAGTGCCTGCCAATCCAGTGGTTTACACAGAA